GGTTGGAGCAACCTGGGCTGGTGGAAGGTGTCCCTGCCCATGGCAGGGGTGGCACTGGATGTTCTTTAAGGTCCTTCCAACCCAAACCATTCCAGAATTCTGTGATGTTTGAGGCGAACAAAGTGGTAGAATCGGGGTAGGAGAGGGCAGAGAGAGGAGGGGTCTGAGTATTAAAGCACAAATGGGGCCAAGTACAAGGAGCTGCTCAGAGTTGTGGAGTTTTGCACTGGTGAAGTCGGGAGAAATCCAAGAAGTCTGAGCAGTGAAGGAGAGAGAGAAATTATTTCCTACCTGAACATAAGAAATGGCCTGGGAAAGGGAGGGAAGAAATGGCATTTGGGATAATCTGTTGGCCATGAGCAGGGCTGTTGGTGCTCCCTGGGTGAGCTCAGAGCCCCCCTGAGGCTCCTGTTGTGCTGCAGCCCCAATTAACCATCAGCAGTTAATTAATGTTAACCTACCTGGCTGGGGGTGCTGATGGAGATGGGATCAGATGAGGCTCTCAGGTGGGTTTTGGGGTGTCCTGGGCACAATCAGGAGTTGGAGTTGGATGATCTTTGTGGCTTCTTTCAGGATATTCCATGATTCTATTAATGGTTTCATGATTCCATAAATGACTGGCAAAGCTGAAACCAAAGTGATTTGAGGGATCTGAGAGGGCTTCTGGAGACCCCAGGGGTCACTTCTGCAGCTGGTTCACCTCCCTGGCACTGCTTTAAACCCACATTGTCCCTCCCTGGATCACCAAGTGAAGCTCCTCTCCTTGGCTATTTTTCACCTTTTACATTGTTGTGTTTAAAGGCTTCAGCATAAAATAAATGTAAAGCCATGAAGCTCTGCCCAAATATAACAAATAAATGTCAGAGTGCTTGGAACCTTAAATTACGGGTTTGAGCAGCTCTTGCATCGAGTAAACTTTATTTTCCATTTAGGAGCCTAAGTAGGAAAGAATATAAACCTCCCAGTTAAATTTAAGGAGAGGGAATCGAAGTGAATCTTTGCAGTAAAACAGTAAACTGACATGGAAATTAAAACTTTTTATAGGTTAATTTATAGGGGTAAAAGATTTTATGCCTTCTCAGTCCCCGTGATAAAGAACAAAGCTCATGTCATGAGGAACTGGGAGGACTGCAGTGCTTTGAATCACAAAGTGATTGCATAAATCTGTCTCAGAGAGTCACTTTTTCAGTGTTTTTAAGGAGTGAACACCAAAAATAAGGAGAGAATAGGAAAGGGTCAGTTTTGGTTCAGAGTTGATGAGTAGGATATGGGGATTATGTGGATGATTGTGATTGGATTTACTGCTGTGGTCAATAATAACTCATATTATATGAGTTGTATATAATATAATTATATATAATATAATATAATTATATATAATTATATAATAATTATGTTATTTTTAAAGATATCTATTATTGCAAAGCATTATGGTGTCATCAGGTTGGGGTCCCTGCTGGTGGCTCAGGGACACCCCCTCACTGTCTGAACACCTCAGACAAGCCCAGGTGGGGCTCAGCTCACCCAGTCCCAGCTTTAGTCCCAGTTTGTGTCCCAGGCTGGGCGGGGAACATCCCAGTTTCCAGTCCTGGGCCTTGCAGGATTCCCAGTCCCAAAGCCCCAAAGCCTCAGGCACAGGGTGGGAGTGTTGGGGTGTCCTGGGCAGGGGCAGGGCTTGGACTCCATGATCCTGGTGGGATCAGCTCAGGATATTCCATCTCCTTTAGGATTTTCTCTCTGGATTTGACCAGATCTCAGCACTTTTTGCTCACCCATCCCAAAGTGAATGTCCCCTGTCTTTGGGCTGGATGGACCTGCAGGTATCCCAGGGCCCAGCAGGGAAAGGGAGAAGGGCTGGGGAGGGAGGGGAGAACACAAGGGAAGACCCAACTACCTTTTGTGTCATCCCAGAAGCTCCTCTACATCATGTTTGGAGCCTGGCCTGGAAGGTAAAAATCTGTATAAGGTCCTGTGGAAGAATCATGGAATCACAGAATGGGTTTGGGTTGGAAGGGACCTCAAAAACCACCTTGTTCCACCCCCTGCCATGGGCAGGGACACCTTCCACCAGCCCAGGTTGCTCCAAACCCCATCCAGCCTGACCTTGGAAACTCCCAGGGAAGAAGCACAAGCTGAATCCCACAGGGACACTCAGGACAGGCCTTATAGGGTCATATTTCCATGCCCTAGTTGAGTCTTTGGTGTGCCCCTGAGCCCTTCTATTCTCCAGCTAAATGCAGTATTTTTAACAGCTTTGTAAAGCCACAGACAATGGGGTTTTTTGGGGTATTGATATGGGATTCTGATCATCTGGGAAGGGACCTTAAAAACCATCTTGTTCCACCCCCTGCCACGAGCAGGGACACCTTCCACCAGCCCAAGTGGCTCCAAACCCCACCCAGCCTGGCCTTGGACACTCCCAGGGAAGAAGCACAAGCTGAATCCCACAGGGACACTCAGGACAGGCCTTATAGGGTCGTATTTCCATGCCCTAGTTGAGTCTTTGGTGTGGCCCTGAGCCCCTCTATTCTCCAACTAAATGCAGTATTTTTAACAGCTTTGTAAAGCCACAGACAATGGTTTTTTTTGGGGTATTGATATGGGATTCTGATCATCTGGCAGCTCCTGCTCTGTGCTGTGCCAACACCCCTCTGATTTGTTCTGAGTGTGTGGCCAGGCTGGCTGGTGGCAAACCCATCTCTGAGGGCCATAAACCACGCTGCCAAATGCACAATTTAATTAAATGCTACCTCTTGTCTTTGTCTGGGCTCCTTTTGTCTGGAAACAGCGTTTTTCATTGTCAGGGAAAATTTGACTTTAAACCCCATTGACGGGGGCTGTGCCTGCTGCCAAGGAGCAGGAAAGGGAGATGTACTTTGGGAGGAGGAAAAGAGAACTTTCTTCTTGAGCTGGAAACTTTCCTCTGGAGCTGGAAACCTCCCCTCATCAGTGGCAGAGTTGAAAAATTGTCAGAGGGACAATTACTTGGGACACTGTTTTCAGACAACGGGGTAAACTACGGAAAAACTTGCTGTTTTCCCCATTATTTCTTGCTGCATTAATATCCACCTTGTTTTAGTAGTTAACCTGCAGCATCTCTTGGTAATAAAATACTAGTGGAATATTTTAACCCTTATGGTTGTTTGGTGCTCCCAGCACAGACCTGTCACCTTTCTCAGGACACCCCCGGGAGGCTGTAAATACACCCCTTTTATCCCAGCTTATCCCTGCAGGGTCAGGAACCTCTGGGGATGCTCAGCTCAGCAAAAGAATGAGATTAAAATTGGATATTAGGAGAAATTCCTTCATGGAAAGGGTTCAGGGCAGGGGTGGAGTCCCCATCCCTGGGGGGATTTCAAAGCCCTGTGGATGTGGCACTTGGGGACATGGGGTGGCCTTGGCAGTGCTGGGAATGGTTGCACTCGATGACATCAGAGTTCTTTTCCAACCTTCATGATCCTACAGGATTCTCTGTGTCCTTGGGCAAGGCTGAGGGACCTTTTCCTCTGTGGAAAGCCACAAATTACAGTGGCATAGGGATGAAGCTGCTCTGGAGACACCAGGTGACAACAGAGCCCAAAAATCAGCACCTCTGATGTTTTTCAGCTCCTTCTGAAGAGGAAAAGCCTTCACAGCTCACACACCCTCTGTGTCCACCCTCGAGCACACAGGAATTGTTTTTTTACCCCACAGGAAGTGGTTGCAAATCATTCCAAGCCACTCCAGGTGGTTCAGTGCCGTGCCAAACTCAACTGGACTCTGTGATCTTGGAGGCCTTTTCCAGCCCTAATGATTCTTTAGGATTCTGTGTGTCCATGGCTAAGGCTGAGGGACCTTTTCCTTTAATTCCATTTAATCCTGCTCTTTGCTCCAGGAATACCAGACTTAAATCAGCCACACATTCCATTTAGCATAGGCATGAAGCTGCTCTGGTGACAACAGGGCCCAAAAATCAGCACCTCTGATATTTTTCAGCTCCTTCTGAAGAGGAAAAGCCTTCACAGCTCACACACCCTCTGTGTCCACCCTCAAGCACACGGGAATTGCTTTTTTACCCCACAGAAAGTGGTCAGGAATCATTCCAAGCCCCTCCAGGTGGTTCAGTGCCGTGCTAAACTCGACTGGACTCAATGATCTTGGAGGGCTTTTCCAACCTTAATGATTCTTTAGGATTCTGTGTGTCCATGGCCAAGGCTGAGGGACCTTTTCCTCTGTGCAAAGGCAGAGCACAGAGTTGCTGTGGGTTAAAGTCACAAAACTTGCCAGCTAAGTTAACCAAAATATTTCAAGGAGAGGAAAAAAACAGGAAAGGAGAGATAACAGCAAATGGTGCTGCTTGGGGAAGGCATTCCTGGTGTGATTCCTTCGTCCCTTTTGAAGTTTTCTAGTGGATAAATTTCTTTCAACACAGAAGGAGGCCAGTTTTCTGCAATATCATTTAAGCAGCAGAGTGGCAGGAGAGCAGCACATCAGGTTTGGGGAAGGAGAGCAGAGAACTTTGTTTCTTTAGTACAATAATAATCCCCAGATAATGAACATTACAATAAGTAACTATTGATCTTGCAACAAGCCAACCCTCTCCAGACAGGCTCCATTTCCCTTCCCAGATGGAGCAGTTGAGTTCCAGACAAGGAATATTTGCCAGAAAATGATTCGTAGGGCCTTAAAATTCCAGTTCAGCAGAGGTTAAAGCCTTAAAGAGGAATAAAATCTCTACCCTAGCCCTCTCTCTGATAAAATTCATCACAACATCCTCTGACAAAACCATTCCTAGAAGGGCTCAAAGCTTCCAGACATGAGGATGAGCTGCTGAAAGAGCACATGTTGGGCAAAGCATATCCCAGCAAGGACTTTACCTCCATGATATGGAAGTAGGTTACTTACAGGTGCCTTCATTTAAAGAAAAAAGCTTTTTATTCTAGTTGTTTTAACTGGTTTTTTGCACCACAGAAAGTGGTCGGGAATCATTCCAAGCCCCTCCGGGTGGTTCGGTGTTGTGGTAGACACAACTCAAGGGTTTCCATTCATCACCCTCTGATCTTCTTCTTCTTCTTCTTCTTCTTCATTGCCCTGCAGCTCATCTTTGAAGGGATCCGTGGCCCTGGCATCGAAGGGGACATTGCCATCGATGACGTGTCCATTGTGGAAGGGGAGTGCATGAAGTCAGACCAGCCGGCCAACAGTAAGTGCTGCTTCTCCACACCAGGGGGAGAAAAGTCCTACCAAAATCCCAAAATGGATTTTTTTTCCCAGGAGAACAATACCTGGTTTGGTTGGAGAGGCTTAAATTGGAATGTTTGCCTTGGAAATGGCTTTGTTCAGGTAGAGGGTGAGCAGAGATGCCAGTGAAAGGCTGGTGGGTGTTGGGCAGAAGAGCAGGGGGAGACTCCGTGGTGGTCTGGGCAGCCACAATTTTTTCCAGGAGAACTGTATCTGGTTTGGTTGGAGAGGCTTAAATGGGAATGTTTTCCTTGGAAATGGCTTTGTTCAGGTAGTGGGTGAGCAGAGATGCCAGTGAAAGGCTGGTGGGTGTTGGGCAGAGAGAGCAGTGGGTGACTCTCCATGGTGGGCTGGGCAGCCACAATTTTTTCCCAGGAGAACAACACCTGGTTTGGTTGGAGAGGCTTAAATTGTAGTGTTTTCCTTGAAAATACTTTTTTCAGAGGGAAAAATGCTGGCTGAGCAGAGATATCAGTGAAAGGGTGTTTGGGCAGAGAGAGCAGTGGGTGACTCTCCATGGTGGGCTGGGCTGGACAGCCACAATTTTTTCCAGGAGAACAACACCTGGTTTGGTTGTAGAGGCTTAAATTGTAGTGTTTTCCTTGGAAATGGCTTTATTCAGGTAGTGGTTTTTCATCCCCAATATTTCTGCCCTGTATAGATGTGAGGTGGATTTTCATCCCAATATCTCTGCCCTGTTTAGCTGTGAGGTGGATTTTAATCCCAATGTCTCTGCCCTCTTTAGTTGTAAGGTGTTCTCATCCCCGTATCTCTGCCCTCTTTAGTTGTGAGGTGGATTTTCATCCCAATATCTCTGCCCTTTTTAGTTGTGAGGTGCTTTCACCCCAATATCTCTGCCCTTTTTAGTTGTGAGGTGTTTTCACCCCAATATCTCTGCCCTTTTTAGCTGTGAGGTGGATTTTCACCCCAATATTTCTGCCCCCTTAAGTTGTGAGGTGGATTTTCATCCCCATATCTCTGCCCTGTATAGATGTGAGGTGGATTTTTTTCCCAGTATCTCTGCCCTATTTAATGGTGAGGTGGATTTTCATCCCAATGTCTCTGCCCTATTTAGTTGTGAGGTGGATTTTCATCCCAATGTCTCTGCCCTCTTTAGCTGTGAGGTGAATTTTCACCCCAATATCTCTACCTTGTTTAGTTATGAGGTGGATTTTCATCCCTTGTAGAGTTCTGACTGTGTGTGGGCATCTCTTTAATTATCCTTTTTCCCCCTTTTTCTGTAGATTTACGATCAGGTGCTGTTGGGACATTCTCACATATACGACTCCTCCCACTTCTCCTCCTCATGTCTGTCTTAAGTCATCAGAGGTGACCTTATCCTGGCAGAGGCTACAAAAGATTCACCAGGCACTGGCATGAAGAAGAAAAGAGTCTTTGTAAAATGGACATTTTAAAAAAACAAACTACCAAAGATTCCTCCACTGAACTGACTCGAAAGTTAAATAAATACGTAAATAAATAATTAAAAAATAAAGAAAAATAAAAGGTGATTAAGAAAGCACTGGGGACATAAAAGGCATCACGGGAGTGTAACTCACCACGAGCCACGTGTGAGGACGGGATCTGGCCTAAGGAAGGAAGAGACCTTCAGGTGCTTTTGTGGTCAATGATGAATTCAGCATCATCTGGTTGAACTCTCGGCGAAGAGCTGTAGAAAAACCCTTGTCAAAGCACAAAAAGTCATGGCTGGTTTTGTTTCAAATGAATAGTTTGCTTGTTACCATGGAAACCTAATGGCCTGCCAAAAAAAAAAAAAGAAAAAAAAAAAAACACAAAAAAGGAGAGAGGAAATAAAAAACAAAAAAAAAAAGAGAGAGAGAAACACCTCACTGTAAAACAGGGTATGTGAAGAGCTGGCATTCATTTCCCCCTGCAGAAGGTTTTTTAGTGTGGAGTTAAACAAATGTGGGCCCTTCCTACTGCGGCTGTCGCCTCCCCTTAGGGAATCACCCGGGATCAGAGCTGGTTTCAGACGTTCCTGTTTTCATTTCTCATGGCTCTGCTTGAGAACTGTGTGTTGCTGTCTCCTCTTTGCATGCATTTCCCAGCCAGGACGTGCCACCCTGGGCTTTACACGTTACACGGGATTTTACGGGATTTTTTCCGGGATTTTCGGAGTTTGCTTGCGGCCACTTCGCCCTCCGCCTCCCCTCTCCCCTCCTCCCCCGACCCGAGTCATCCGTTCCGACGAAGGGAAGAAAAACCAAACCACCGTCTTTTATAAATTGCCATGGAAACCAAGTGCCTTCAATGAAACAAGCCTGATTTAAAAAAACAAAAAAAAAAACGAACAAAACAAACAAACAAACAAAAAATAAATAAAACAGACAAAAAGGAAATATACTTAAAAATATATATATATAAAAATAAATGTAATAAGGAGAATAACGGTTTCAAAAGGAAGCTTGCACTGCTAAAAAACGTGGGTTGTGCAAACTCTTTTTCTAAACAAACTACGGAGCCTGGGTGTGCAGGGCAAGGAGACGGAGCCGCTTCCGGACATGGATGGATCGGATGGACCTCACTTCCGGACATGGATGGATGGGATGGATGGGATGGACCTCACTTCCGGAGATGGATGGACGGGATGGACCTCGCTTCCAGAGATGGATGGATGGATGGATGGGATGGACCTCGCTTCTGGAGATGG